AGAGGATAATATCTTGCACTATTTTGTCCTAGAAATGGTTGAATATTAGTTGAAAGGAAAAACATTTATATAAATATGCATTTTTGATTAGGATTTATTTGAGAAGATCGTTTAAAAAATAATTTTCCCCCAGTAAATGTAGATCGACTCCATTCCTTAATGGAGCATATTGCCATCTAGTGTACAACTTAAAAGTGAGTATTTACTAGGAAAGAAAAATCAAATAATGTCAGAAAAACGCATAACTGTTATTTAGCACTAGCAATTTTAAAATACTGTTTAGAACATGGATTTTAAATACTTGTTTTTTTGTTGTTGTTTTTTTTACTTAAATACACAATAATACATTTTGAAAATTAAACTATTGGAGAAAAGAAAGAAAGTTTCAGATTTTTGTATATAAAGCGTACTGCTGATATTATATTAAATTATTATTTACAAAGACGAATACGTTAAAAATAAATAGCTAATAAAGATTGGTTATAAGTTGATAATAAATGCTACAAGTGCTATATTAAATGGTTCCATTATTTTAAACGTTAGCACAATTCAGTATGCGCATTATCATTAGGGCAAATATAATTATTCAGGAAACAGGCTGAAAAGGCTTACAAATCATATATATCCGATCCGATTACCCTTTGGTAACTACTGATTTAATTAGAATGAATAGTTTTTTACATAGCCAACAGATGGCGTCAAAGAAACTATTTGCCTTAAACACGAAAATACATTTAACCACATTGTAAGAATTACTCTATATCTTAAGTAATCAACGTATTTAACTAACTAATATACCACAGGAAAACAGCGGTTTATATCTAACAAACCAACAAACTGAAGCGGAAAACATTAATCCAACACAACATATAAGCAAACACGTGATATAGTGATTATCTCAATACTGCAAGGCTTAGTATCAACGTTCTTTCTACGTCAGTATAGGGAGCTAACCAGCATACTACAGTGGATTGTCTCAACACATTTAGCAGGTCAAGACCCCTGATGTTTCATTTAATCAACAGAGACACACGCATTAACATAGCCTGACAGTCAAAGTGCCTTAATAACATCTCCCTTCAACCAAGATGCTGCAGTTGAAACTGATAATTTACTTAATCATTCAAACAGTTGACATGCTCTAACGCAGTGAAGAAAGAAAAACATCTTAATTAGAGGTACTTCTACTGTGGGGGTAGACAACTATCTTTTGTAGAGGTTCGAGTCTTCTGCCTACTGTAAGTTCTAGGCCCAGAAAAACCATCTTTCAATATCTTGACCTCGCTTCTCTCACAAATAAACTTGCAGATAGGCCTATAAAAAATATTAACAACTTTCATCGCTGTGATTGGTTTACTTATAAAAGGCCGTAGCTACGAAATTATATACACATATTTGTCTACTTTAAAGACTGTAAACTGTTTGTTAAAAAAATACATGCAAATGTTATTTTAATATAAAATTTATAACAAGTATTTTATATTTATATTGATAAGTTAGCAGGAGGGGGAGGGGTTACAGTTTACGTTACAAATGTGATTTGGTGTCAGAGTTTGTAACTCGGTGTTACAACTGGAGGACCTATAATTATTAATCAATTTCTCTTACGGCGTGCGTTCTTTCTCTGTTGTCCTAAGCCCCAATTTGTATCAGTCTTAATACCGAACTGTTTTTAGTTTTGGTTAGCAACATTCATGTACGCAATTTGAACTTATGGTGTAGGATTGTTTGTTTTGAATTTCGCGCAAAGCTACACGAGGGCTATCTACGCTAGCCGTTCCTAATTTAGCAGTGTAAGACGAGAGGAAAGGCAGCTAATCATCACCATCTACCGCCAACTCTTGGGCTACTCTTTTTACCAACGAATAGTGGGATTGACCGTCACGTTATAACGCCCCCACGGCTGAAAGGGCGAGCATGTTTGGTGGGACGGGGATTCAAACCCGTGACCCGCATATTGCGAGTCGAGCGCCCCCTAACCACCTAGCCATGTCTGGCTTTAATGTAGAAATGACAGGTTAAGTAACTTCTAATTTAATTTCAGTTTACATTTTTATCGTTTACCTTCTCAACGTGCGGGTCGTGAGTTCGAATCTCATCAGCTTGGGAGTGTTATAGTGTGACGGTTAATCCCACTATTCGTTGGTAAAAGAGTAGCCCAAGAGTTGGCGGTGGGTGGTGATGACTAGCTCTAGTCTTACACTGCTAAATTAGGGACGGCTATAAACACAAGAGTAACAGAAAGGTTATAATACCAGTACAGTTTTATCATCTAACGACATTATATTAAAACGATTTTTGAGCTTCACAACATCGTTACTGCTCATGTTGCTACGTACGGTCATATTTATTCTAACCAACAACCATGCATCTTGATAATAGCTTTGCACCATAGTCTCCATTAAAAAAGGTCTCCGTCGTAAAAATTGTTTGTTTATTTGATCTTATTATTATTATTATGAAAGAAAAAAGCTTGTTATAGTTTTATTAAATAATTTATTGGTTTCATTCTTCAAGCAACAAAACCTAGTTGCTCTACACACGCCACACGCACGTGGCTCTCATGTCAAGTTACTCTCCAGAGTACTTTACATTATGTTACAGTTAGGGTATAACACAGATATGGTGAAACGGTTTAAAAGACAAAGAACCACATCAAACAGTCACCACAATTGTAGTGGTCCTGAAAAGCATTTATTCAGTTTCCGACGTTCGTGGTTTTTTAATATTTCTACATCGTATCTTTCACGATTAGAAACACAAAAAGTCAATAAAATGTCAACTCCTCACTATAGACACGAGTCCACTTCACAACCAGAATTTTTGTAGATTTTGCATTTTGTCTTTAAATTTTCAAGAACACATTTTGTAACTTATATGTTTGTAAACTGAAGTATAATTTATAAAAAATGACTGCTCGAAGCGAAACAATCTTTAAAAAAACGTTTCTTGAACAGTATAAACGTATTAACATACAGTTACAAGACCAACAGCAAGGATATAATACCAGTATTTACCAGTGGTTAAAAGTAAGGGTGTTCCCCCTAGCTACAAGAAGAAGTAGCCAATGGGATCTAAAACAATATTATAGGACAACTTAAGGTTTGTGGGGGAAGGGGGACTACAATACGTGAAAACTGGTCTTCATCGGACAAAATTAAAATTACGACTTACCGTGCGCATATAGGTGGATCTAGGAGCAATGACCGTGGCGAAACTTTGACCTTGTCACACTCAAAGTCATCCAAGGTCATACAGTTCTAGTTATCGTTACATCTAATGGATTATGTGCCGTTTCTTAACTCATTGTTTTTTGTAAAGAACAGCGATTTCGTATATCCATTTCCGTTTCGAAATTCAATTTCGCTTCTTTTCGATCTGTCGTTTTTTAACGCAAGAGATGATTCCAAAACAGCAATGCATCTGCTATTATAATTGAAAAAAATATTCCGAAAAGCTTATCCTGGACTTTTAGTTCATTGTCTGTTTCAGTAACAAGAGTTTAATCCGAAACGCTATCGCTCCTGTCGTTCTAGTCACTAAAGCTGATCCTGGACTTATAGTTCATTGTCTGTTTCAGCAACAAGAGTTTAATCCGAAACGCTATCGCTCCTGTCGCTCTAGTCAATAAAGCTGATCCTGGACTTATAGTTCATTGTCTGTTTCAGCAACAAGAGTTTAATCCGAAACGCTAAGTCCAGGATCAGCTTTAGTGACTAGAGCGACAGGAGCGATTATGGGATTGATTGTATTTATAGTAAAGCTACTGAGGCTATATGCCGCTGTTCCTAAACTTGAAATACTGACCAGAAGGAAGGCAGGCAGGCAGTAGCATCTTGTCATCCACTACTCATGCAATGGAATTGATTGTCACTCTTATAACGTACCCACAGCTCAAAACGCTGGAGATATTCTGTGGCATCGCGCGGAATGCGTACCCGGCTCGTCAGCTCTGATATGAAGAGCTCTACCACAGAGTAGCCCCCACGCCCCAAATGTTCAAATTTTTAAAACAATATCAAACCGTTATTTCAATAACTAACTTCAGGTAAAGTTTGTTGTTTCGTCATAAAGTTTTGTTTTCCGAAATTTGATAATATTTCATAAACTTTTAACTTTCAGAAATACAAAACACTCGTCACATCTGGTGTTTTTGTATAAATGTAATGGCATGTTTGTTATTTTCATAAAAAAAAAAAACATTCGGAAGGACTTGACATTTCAAAGTTTAGATGCTACATATACTGCAAATATAGGGAGCAGTACATGATCCCACGCCCTTGCAATCCGGGGAAGCAGGACATGAATCACATGTAAAAAAAAAAAAAATGGGATTACAACATGAACTCAACTCCTAGCAAGTGGGGGAGTGGGACGTGAATCCACGATCACATGTTTTTTTTGCAAAAAAAAGAAATTAAAACATGAACCCAACTCCCAGCAAGTGGGGGACATGGATTTATGGAGAAGGGTACGAGTCCACGTCTTTACAAGCAGAATATGAATACACGTTTCGAACACGCTTTCTTCGTCAGACTTAACAGAATATACGTTTTAATTAAGTAGTGTCTTAATAAAAACTTAAGTTATTTACCATTTTAGATAATTAGTACCGTTCAATTTTTATTTAGTTTTTTGTGTTTTTTAGCAATATTGTTTGAAACTAAGATCTTCAGGGCTTAATTCCTAAATAAAGAGAAACCGTGTCATCGATGAAGGATGTGCGTGTTTGGCATATCAGATATATGTGCCTGAGCTTTCGTTTAATTAGTAATGAAAGTTTCGTGGGCTACATCCTGTTTCGTTCTTGTAAGAAAACGTTTCGGTTGGAGTAAAGCTATAAACAAGAGGTTTCTCAAGTCTTACTTACTCTAACTAGATCATACAAGTGCTTCAAACAACGATATAATATTGTTTTGTTTAAAACCTGTTTATATCCTGATTTTCTGCTAAAGTTACGTTAGAATAAATTCATTTCGTCATTTTAAAACTGTACCTACCACTTCCGGTACCACTGTAGCGGATTGGCTTGGCTGCCCATTGGAAGCCTTCTGTTCTCGACTGGTCATAATGTTTCTCAGGTAGACTGAACGAAAAAGATGCTGTTTCGAGCGGATTAGTCTTTAACTCTTTAGTGCTTGTGATATATCAAGTTTCCTTCACTCAACTACTCAGAACAGAAATAGCTAACCTTTACTTGTATGTAAATATCACTACGCAGCGGCAGTTGATGTTAAAAGAGGATATTACCTAATAATGAAGAATCCTCCTTTTCTCTACCTTCGACTTTACGTATCGTTTCAATGTGTTTCCTAACACCATCTCCGGTTCAATAAAAACCTCACGTAGGCGTAACGCGGCGAAGACCGCTTGGCGGCGTTATACCATAGTACAGGTTCCGAACTAAGAACTTTTGATTGGTTTTGAAAAGAATGAAAAATTGAGTTTGAAGCAACTGTGAAAATGTTCCGAAACTTTCAGAGAGAGTTGATGATCTTTTGATGTAAATTAATTAATTTATCCACGCTTGTTACTCTAATGCAAGCAAATTAATTGTATTTTGTAGCATTAGCAGAACGACATCTACCTAAACATAGAAACAGAATATTGTTTGACTCTTCTTTATAAATAATAAACCGTACAACCATCTTTTGTTTTAATCTACGCATGAATAGTGGGTGACAAGATGCTACTGACTGCCTGCCTTCCTTCTGGTCAGTATTTCAAGTTTAGGAACAGCGGCATATAGCCTCAGTAGCTTTACTATAAGTACAATCAATTCCATAGTGGGTGACAAGATGCTACTGACTGCCTGCCTTCCTTCTGGTCAGTATTTCAAGTTTAGGAACAGCGGCATATAGCCTCAGTAGATTTTAAAATAAATACAAAATATCTATTACTCTGAAATTATTTAAGTAAAAGGTTCACAAGTCGTTTCTTCTTTAAGCAGGAGAGATACACACGCTGTAATTAGAGGGCTTAAGTAAGAAAAATATATAGAGGAATAAGATTCAGGTTGTGATATACGTGTGAATGTACTTAGAGCTATATAAAGGAATAACATTCAGGTTGTGATATACGTGTGAATGGATTCAGGTTGTGATATACGTGTGAATGTACTTAGAGCTATATAAAGGAATAAGATTCAGGTTGTGATATACGTGTGAATGGTTGTGATATACGTGTGAATGTACTCAGAGCTATATAAAGGAATAAGATTCAGGTTGTGATATACGTGTGAATGTACTCAGAGCTATAAGTACATTCACACGTATATCACAACCTGAATCTTATTCCTTTATATAGCTCTGAGTACATTCACACGTATATCACAACCTGAATCTTATTCCTTTATATAGCTCTCAGTACATTCACACGTATATCACAACCTGAATCTTATTCCTTTATATAGCTCTAAGTACATTCACACGTATATCAAGGTGATTGATTCTGCCTTAAAACTTATTGTTAAACGGAAGCAAATTTTCGCCATAGGCAGTAAAACACATAGATCTTATCGAGGAAAGTGTGGACATGTAGGTGGATGAAACAAATGTAATATTTTCTTAAATGCTTTAGTTTTCCAGTAACATTATTAAATTGTTTAAAGATCGAAAGACAGCTCTAAGTAAATAATAGATTGAATATAATAACGTAATGTAATAATAGATTGACTACAATAACGTATTGTAATAATAGATTGACTATAATAACATAACATAATAATAGATTGACTATATTCTTAACGGTATCATGACAACGAACGTACTTTTTCAAATCGTGTAAACACCTGGTATAGACTATTTTATAGTTTACAATACAAACATATATTTCTATATTTAAGCACAGCAGCATCTTTTGAAAATGTTACTTAGATTATGGTTTCATTATGTTTAGCGTCAAAGATCATATCATACATATATATATATACATGTAATTTATGAACTACAAAAGACTTGTTGGTCCATCTAGGCCGTCCCATCTACTAAACTCAACTCTGGAATACAAAATAAAACATTCAAGGTCAACCATTATCATTGAAATATTTATATTCCCTTGAATTAATTGCTTCTGTCACATTTGAAGGCAACCCATTCCAAAAACTAACCACCCTGTTAGAAAAATATAGTTGTCTTAGCTTAAATGGCTCCTACACTGCCCACATGTATATTTTTGGCCCTTAGTCCTACCATTCTAACCATTAAGTAAGAAAAAATGATGCATCAGCACTATCAATTCCCTTAATAATCTTAAACACTTCAATCAGAATGTTTTTTTTTTCTTCTAAATGCTTTTTTTCTTCAAGAGAAAACAATATCAGAGATCTTAATCTATCCTCCTATGACAACTTTTCCATCACAGGTATCATCCTAGTACACTGGTGCTTCGATTATCCGCGCTGATTATGCAAAGCAAGAAGGTGGAATAGTATGCTTTGGACATGACAGTACGACGTTGCAAGACTATTGTCAAGATGCATGGTTGTCAGGCAGAGCATGACTGGACTTGGTTGCATAGACAGCAACGGCGTGGTGAAGCTTCCAAATTGTTTAATATAACGAATCCAACCGTCCGTAGAACTAAGTGTTCAAAATCCATAAACAGTCGGTACATGATGAGCGAAAGAAGTAAGATCCTCGTTCAATTTACATAACTATTTGTTTCGTGAGAAGAATAAAAACATAGTAATCGGTGAAGGAAAAAAGACTGGTAACTGTTTAAGTGAAGTACATCAAAGCCCTACATTGATCTCTAGTTGAATTTCTTTGCTAATAAATGGCATTTTTCTTTTCTGTTTGACGTAAATTGTTACTGAAGTTGGGTTAAAGAACAAAAGGCCGTCTTAGTAAGTAATTTCAAACATCTCACTGCACTTATGTTTAAAGGTTTTCTGTTTACATTCTTGACGGTGATTTCTGTAGATGAACTAACAAATGTGCAGGAATGAAAAAATAATATACATTAAAAACTTTTGAGACACATGAGCAGTAGTTATAATCACACTTCCAATATTTTTGAATCATTTTTTTTTAATTGAAATTCAAAATTATTTAAGATCACGTTTTTGGAAATTGACTTCTTAACACTTGGGGCTGCTAATGGCACTTTGGGGAGGTAAGGTGATTATAAACTACGTTATTGTAGTCAATCTATTATTACATTACGTTATTATATTCAATCTATTATTAGATTACGTTATTATAGTCAATCTATTATTGCATTACGTTATTATAGTCAATCTATTATTACATTCCGTTATTGTAGAGGACACTCGATACATGGACTGATGGTTAGGACACTCGATACATGGACTGATGTCTCGAGGCTTCACCAAAGAAGGAAGATGGATGCAACAAAAATTATTGACTGTAGTTAAATTAACTATGATGACCCCTGGTGGGGCAGCGGGTAAAACGCTAAAATCATGGGTTCGATTCCCCGCGGTGGACACAGCAAATAGCCCAATGCGACAAGGAAATAAAGTAACTACGATCTGTAAATAATTTATGTACACTTATAAGACAGTTTCATTGGCCAAAAAAGTAGGACAAGTCGTGACAATGAAATCAGTCTTGCATATATATTTTAGTTTTTTCACACTAAAAGTATCTACTTAACCTATCTTTTTTTAATCTTGTTATTCATAGGCTAGAATAAATTACATAGTCAGGTGTTTAGGGTTAGGTGGTGGCGATTGGAGATGATCGGTAGAAACGTGGGATATAAACCAAGCAGTAATATAGTAAGTAATAATAAATCTTAGGTCGTCTAAGTTACTAACCATGGCAACAACACGAAATCCGCTTTGTTATCAACTCGTACACGCTGAATGTTATTGTCTAGAGAAATATAAATATATCACGTGATTTTAGACGGTCTGTTCACACAACGTGCTGTCGTTGTCCAATGTGTTATAACATACAGTAACTTGCTTGAAAAATGAACCAGATTCATGAAATTTATTATTAAATACGTTCCAAAGACCTGAGACAATGTTAAAACACGAGATAGTTGTATACTTGGTAGCCATGACAAACAGAGATTCGGAAAATTGATTTAACTATGCATCAGATAGAAGCACTGGTATAGAGAATATATCGAAGTGTGTTTATGAAAATGTTATAAACCGCCAAAGAAAATCAATTCTTGTTCGCAAAACTTGTGTACTGATTTTTACAGTTGAGGATGACTTCGAGTCCAGCCTATTACATATCTTTAATTTCTAGTGTATAAAGGAAGCTTCGTTCACGCTCGTCTTGCGAAACGAGGAATTATACAACTACAAATAGTCCTAAACAATTCAAGAGGAGGAAAAGATCGATAAACCTGACGAGTGGACATTACTGTCAATTTTTATAATCTAGGTTAGACTGCCCAGACGTATTTATTAAACAAGTATTTTGTAAGTATTTATTATAAGAAAAACATTCAATTTATAGGAGACCGAAAGTAAAATCAGACAGATCTGTTCGATGACAGTAATGCTGGTTAACCATAAAAGTCAGAGATTTTTAACAAACATTGTTAACTGAATATAGAACAATGTTATATATATCAGTCGCCCAGATTAAAGTAAACCTTTAGTAAGAAGTATTTGAGTTAAGAATATTTAAGTTATACCAAACACTACACAAAAAACACGTTATTAAATAAAAACAAGGTAAGCATATTGCTTTACTTTTTACGTAAAACAATCAACAAAATGACGTCAGTACTTTAAAGTTAAATGTACTACATCATTGTCCTTAACATAGCTACTGTTTCATATTTCATTTATTTTATCAATTAATATAGGATGCTTCATGAGTGAGTGACCTAAACTTGAATATTTTACAACAATACTTGTGCTCATAAAAATTTTGATTATATTACTTGCAATGGCTTAATCGTTTACAGACATCCACGTTTTTATTCGTCAGGTTTTGGCTTCGCAAACTTTGAAATATTACTTCAGTAACATCTTTGTATACTAGATGGCGCGAGTGTTTCAGACACATTATCACAAAGATATACAGGACTAGAGGGAAAGCAACTATTAAACAGCACTCGCAATCAATTCTTGAGGTACTCTTCTAA